AGGCCAAATCCAGCCACTGCCTGTTTTTGGGAATTTGGTTTTACTGAAGAAAGCCATGCTGATTTTCCATGCTGTCTGTAGGTGTTCTTATGCTTCCACCACAGGGTTGAGAAGTTGTGTCAAGAGATCATATGGCCTACAGATTTTAAAATCTGCCCTTTCACAGAAGTTTTGCTGACCCTTGTTCTAGTCCAGTCACATTTCTCTGACTTCTGTATCTTTCCTAATTTGTTATTCAGTATATTTTCAAGTAATATGTAGTCTGTAAGCATTAATAAGTCATTTGATGATTTAGTGACTTCAAATTCATTTGATTTTTCTTCCTCCAGTGTGATTTTAATTTGAAGTCTTTTACAAATAGGGGATATTATAATATATTTTTTTTCCTCCCTAACAGTTATGGCTGATTGTCCTCACACAATTGGTGTTGAATTTGGTACAAGAATAATTGAAGTTAGTGGCCAAAAAATCAAACTGCAGATTTGGGATACAGCAGGACAGGAGCGGTTTAGGGCTGTTACGCGAAGCTATTACAGAGGTGCTGCAGGAGCACTCATGGTGTATGATATCACTAGGTAAGAGATGTAATCATTTCTCAGCTTTCATGCCTGGAAAAAGAAATCTATTTTGGGCAGTGTGGTTTTCTTTTTATTTGTTTAGGTATTCTTTGGTGTATAACTGTGTGACTATAAATGAAATTACTTGGATTGTATAGTTTCTTCCCTAAATTATTGTGTAAAACTTGATGATAGAATATGTTGATACCCTTTTCTGAAAGTGGGTGGGTATGGCTGAAAAACACTTCAGAGGATGGTAGGTGGAGTGAATGGAAGATAACAGTTCTGAAAAGCAGCATTAATGCAATTATTTGAGGTGACATAATATTTTATACCAAACTCAGTTGTTTTCACATCAGTAGAAGGCAAACAAATAGAGTTACTTTATTCAATATCTAGTGTTGAAATATACACTTTCTCAAAATAAGAATTCCTGTAGATGATAGGCATATTGTACAGTCACTAGTTTCCTATGCACACTATGTGTGTTATTTATGTGGGCATGTTATATGCAAAAAATAACTAGTTTTGCTCATCCAGCATGGTAGATTACAAATAGTTTTTTTTTTTGTTTGTTTTTTTTACCCCAGTGGTTTGGGTAAAAGCTACAGAACGAATTGGTTTTCTATACAACAATTCATGCATACTTTGTTTTATGACATTGATTGCATTCCCCACAATGTAATATTATTATTCCCACTTCTTCCCTGTGTTTACAATTTCCTATCGTCCTTCCTTCCCATAAGGCTAAACAAGAAACACAGAGAGGACATATGTGGGTGGAAAAGGGTTCTAGGCCTGGCTCTGAAATCATTTCTTCTTCTGTGGGCTTCTGTTTTTGCACCTGTTAAATCAGTAAGGTGGATTAATGTTTGGTGAGTTTATAATTAAAAAAAACATTCTCCATCTTCAAAATTTGTATTGTTTTGATTCCTTTGGTAGATTCAACTCTGTATAATATTGTAAATTATTTTCATTTGTTTGCTGTCTTAGGGCCTGCTTGGCTAGTGCAAATGAGCCTGTAAGTTTAACTCTTGTTTGGAGAAAGAGATCAGTCTGAATCCCAAAATGATTAGCTGGTAAATAAGAATTCAAAATTAGGCTAAGCTAGCTGTCTTATAGAGACTTGGATTTATAGTCAGATGCATTACATGCTTTTTTAATGCTAGTTTTTTTGTTTGTTTTAATTGTGATTTGGGTGAAAGTTTACAGAGTAAATTCATTTTTCATTCAGCAGTTCATACACATTTTTGTTGCATGACATTGATTACAATCCCATAATGTTAATACTCTCTTCCCAGTTCCTCCCTGTGGTTACCTTTTCCCTGTGTCCTTTCCTATGCATTCCTGCTTTCTGAGCTATCTCCCTGTGCAGATGCTGCCTTTCTGATATCCCATGGTTGATTGTTAAAGCTAGTTTTTATGATTTTGTAGTTAGCCTTTTCTTTAAATTATTATTAAGGGAAGGTAGATTATACAGTAGGTGCAGTAGTGTGACAATCTTGGTTTCTCATTGAGAGTTACTAAAATGTAAAGATATATGTAAATGTTTTTCCAGTGAGTGTTTTTGGCTAGACATTTTGGTAATTACTTTGTCTTTATTTTGTGATTGAAAATCTGGATGATTTTAGTTGTAGTAATTTTTGTTTTGACTTAAGATAGAAAATTCTGAGTTCAGAATTGTTTTCTGTTTGTTCCTCACTTGTTTATTGGTCTGTTTACAAATGTGTTTTCAGTGTAAGTTATTTATTCCTGATGTGCAAGTAATTAGCACAGTTGTTGGATATTGAATAATTTATTTAAAAGAAAATTTTTGGCTAAATTTTTAATTAATAGGTATGTAGTTTCATTAACAACA